TGCTTCCATGCTTCTCCAAGGTTCCATCCATGCCTATAAAAGGAGAAGGCATCCACACCATTTGAACCAACCAAGAGAGCAAGTAGTGAGAAGTGAGAAGAAGCAACAAAGCTTCTAAGAGTGTTTGAGTGTTTCCTCTTGTACTAAGTTTGTGAGTGAATAAAAATCTTGTGTAATACATTGAGTGTTCTTTCTTTCTCTTGCCTAACAATTCCTCTGCATTACATTCTTCTTTGTGAGATAAACGTCTCCAAAGTAGTGAAGTCTTTTTAAGCCCCAACAAAGTGGTACCAGAGTTATGGCTAGCAACGCTATGGCAGCCTTCCAAGTTCCAGTGCTCGACAACAACAACTTCGATAATTGGAGTATCAAAATGAAGGCCCTTTTAAGAGCACATGATGTATGGGAAGTCATGGAGAAAGGCTACACTGAGCCAAAAGATGAAGCTACTCTGTCACAACCAAAGACTCAAGAAAGAGAGACAAGAAGGCTCTCTACCTCATCTACCAAGCATTAGATGATAATGGCTTTGAGAAGGTCTCGAGTGCAACCTCTACCAAGCAAGCATGGGAGAAGCTTCAAACCTCTTACAAAGGAGCCGAACAAGTGAAAAAGGTTCGTCTTCAAGTATTAAGAGGTGAGTTCGAATCTCTACATATGAAAGGGTCTGAATCAATCTCTGATTATTTCTCAAAAGTCTTAGTCGTTTCCAATCAATTAAAAAGAAACGGAGAAAAGTTGGAAGATGTTAGAATTATGGAGAAGATACTACGTTCGTTGGACCCCAAGTTCGAGCACATTGTCGTGACGATTGAAGAAACTAAAAACTTGGAAGAAATTAGTATAGAGCAATTAATGGGTTCACTACAAGCATATGAAGAGAAACATGAGAAGTGGCAAGGGAATGATGAACAGCTGCTCAAAACGCATGTCCAGCCAAAGAAGAAAGAAGAAAGCTTCGACAATGAGAGTAGCCATTACAAAAAAAGTCGTGGTCGATGACGCGGATGTGGACGTGGTTGGAACTTCAACAACCATAGTAACTACGAAAGAGGAGAAAGCTTAACAAAGGTGGTGGAAGAGGACGCTCAAACTTGAGGTATGAAAAATCTCAAGTTCAATGCTACAATTGTCAAAAGCTTGGGCATTATGCTTGGGAATGTAGAGCTCCAAGCAATAGGCCTGATGAGAAGGCCAATTATGTGAAAGAAGAGAAAGAAGATAATGGCGTTATGCTACTAGCATGCAAGAACAATGATGGAGACCAAGATTATACATGGTACCTTGACACCGGTGCCAGCAACCACATGTGCGGAAGAAGAAGCATGTTCGTAGAGCTCAATGAATCGGTGAGTGGCAACGTTTCTTTTAGAGACGAATCCAAAATACCCGTCAAAGGAAAAGGTAACATCCTAATTCCCCTGAAAAATGGCGGTCACCAATTAATTTCAAATGTCTACTACGTGCCCAATATGAAAAGCAACATTTTGAGCTTGGGTCAACTTTTAGAAACAAAGTTATGATATTCACATGAAAAATTATAGCCTTTTTTTTAGAGATGACAAAGGAAGATTAATTGCCAAGGTGAAAATGTCAAAGAATAGAATGTTTCTTATGAATATTCAAAATGATGTTGCAAAGTGCCTCAAAACATGTTACAAAGACACATCCTGGCTTTGGCATCTTCGTTTTGGGCATCTTAACTTTAGGGGACTGGAGTTATTATCCAAGAAGGAGATGGTGAGAGGCTTACCGTGCATCAATTGCCCTGATCAAGCTTGCGAATGATGTTTACTTGGGAAACAGTTCAGGAAAAGCTTTCCAAATGAGTCAACCACAAGAGCCCAGAAGCCACTCGAGCTTATTCACACCGATGTGTACGGTCCAATAAAACCAAGCTCTTTGGGTAAAAATAATTCTTTCCTTATCTTCATTGATGATTTTTCAAGGAAAACCTAGGTATATTTCTTGAAGCCGAAATCAGAGGTATTTGGAGCATTCGAGAAGTTCAAAGCCGTTGTAGAAAAAGAAAGTAGTTGCAAGATCAAAGCCATGAGATCTGATCGAGAAGGAGAATTCACTTCGAAGGAATTTCAAGAATTTTGTGAAGCCAATGGAATTCGTCGACCTTTGACAGTTCCAAGATCTCCTCAACAAAATGGTGTGGCGGAAAAAAAAAATCAAACCATCCTAGACATGGCTTAAAGCATGCTCAAAAGTAAGAGATTGCATAAGGAGCTGTGGGCAGAAGCTGTAACATGTGCTGTCTACCTATCCAATCAATCTCCAACAAGAATTATGTGGTGAAAAACTCCGCAAGAAGCATGGAGTGGAAGAAAGCCAGGTATCTCTCATCTAAGAGTTTTTGGAAGCATAGCCCATGTACATGTTCCAGACGAGAGGAGAACCAAACTCGACGATAAAAGTGAGAAGTTCATCCTCAATGGCTATAACTCAAATTTAAAAGGCTATAAGCTGTATAATCCAAACAATGGGAAGACAGTGATTAGTCGAGATGTGACGTTCGATGAAGAAGGAGAATGGGATTTTGGCTCTCATGCGGGTGATATTCACTTCTTTCATCAGTTTGAAGAAAAGAATGAACAAGGGATGATGGAGCAAGCAAGAGAGGTTCAACAAGAATCCACTACTCCACCTACTTCACCAACATCAACCAATCATGGTAATTCACCAGCATCAACATCATCAAGTAGGAGTCTAAATGAAAGAGAAGTACCACACACAAGAAGTCTACAAGATCTCTATGAGGTAGCTGAAAGACTCGATAATCCTACATTTTTCTGTCTCTTTGCTGATTGTGAACCAGTTGACTTCCAAGAAGCAATGCAGGATACTAAGTGGAGGAAAGCAATGGATGAAGAAATTGAAGCAATCGAGAAGGATGATACATGGGAACTCGCTATTCTTCCGAAAGGACACAAAGCCATCAGAGTCAAGTGGGTGTATAAGACAAAGAAGAATGCCAATGGAGATGTCGAAAGATACAAGGTGAGATTAGTGGCGAAGGGCTATAGTCAAAGAACCGGAATCGACTATGATAAGGTATTTCCACCCGTTGCTCGGTTGGAAACTATACGATTACTAATTTCTTTGGCAGCTCAAAACAAATGAAAGATTCAACAAATGGATGTGAAGTCCACTTTCCTAAATAGAGTCTTTGAAGAAGAAGTCTACATTCAGCAACCGTCAGGTTATGAAATCAAAGGGCATGAAGACAAAGTTCTGAAGCTAAAGAAAGCCCTCTATGGGTTAAAACAAGCACCACGAGCATGGAATAGTCGCATTGACAAGTACTTCCAAGAAAACAACTTCACCAAGTGCCCTCATGAACATGCTCTTTACGTCAAAGTCAAAGATGGAGATATTCTAATTGTGTGCTTATATGTGGATGATCTAATCTTCACCGGAAGTAATCTAAGCATGTATGAAGAGTTCAAAAGAGTGATGACCAAAGAATTCGAGATAACCGACATTGGGTTGATGGCATACTACCTAGGCATTGAAGTCAAGCAAAACAAAGAAGACATTTTCATCTCCCAAGAATGCTACACAAATGAGATACTAAAAAAGTTCAAAATGAACGACTGCAAACCCATAAGCACGCCAGTGGAGTGCAGAGTCAAACTAACTAAGCATGACAAAGGAGAAAGCGTATGTCCAACATTTTTCAAAAGTCTAGTTGGAAGCATGCACTACTTGACTTGCACAAGACCATATATTCTCTATGCCGTCAGATTAGTCAATCGCTACATGGAGAATCCCACAACTACACATTTGAAGACAGCCAAAAGAATTCTTCGATATCTTAAAGGTACTGTTAACTTTGGCTTGTTATATTTAAGTTCTGATAACTACAAACTTGTTGGATATAACGACAGTGATTGGGCAGGAGATTCCGACAATAGAAAAAGCACTACTGGATTTGTGTTCTTCATGGGAGACACTGCATTCACATGGATGTCGAAGAAGCAACCGATTGTCACTCTCTCTACAATGCTTACAATCTTCTAACATCAGGCAGACACACAATTTCAATTGGCGATGATGTCGTCTTCTTCCCTATTCAAGTCAACATTAAAGAGTAAATTTATATTGGAAATGAACTCCCAATGGGGTATTATGCTTATTGTGAGTAAATAATTATTTAGTAGAATAATTAGAAGACTAGTTGCTGATGCACCTCATTTCCCTCTTAAGATTAGATCAGCTTGTAAACGGTAGCCAGTTGATTTCTAATTTTCATCTACTTCATGTTGGGGCTTAAAAAGACTTCTCTACTTTAGAGACGTTTATCTCACAAAGAAGAATGTAATGCAGCGGAATTGATAGGCAAGAGAAAGAAAGAACACTCAAAGTTTTTTTACACAAAATTTTTATTCACTCACAAACTAGTACAAGAGGAAACACTCAAACACTCTTACACTTCTTTACTCTTTTCTCACTTCTTGCTCCCTTACCTAGCAACACACACACATACACCTATTTATAGGTATGGTTTTGCCGACTTTCCTTATTGCACCGACTTGAGCATTGCTTAACAGCCACACAAATTGCTAGCTTTGGTTTTTCTAGAAAAAGGCTACATTAGATATAGTTTTGATATTTCCAGATGGCTTAACCGACTTGGGCTTTGCTGGATTTTAATATGTATGCATTCCACCGACATGCTCTTGTTAGAATTATCTAGCATTTGTAACCATCAATTAGCTTGTGTTGCCTTTTCAACATGGGCTGGACTCGGCCCAAGACTAGATTAGAATTCAACACCCCCCCTTAATCTTGTCTTATGACGCCGATTGAATTTCTCAATCTGATAAAGTCTTCTTGTTTGAGTGGCTTGGTGAATATGTCCGCGATTTGGTCTTGAGACTTCACGTATTCCACTTTCACATCCTTTCTTGCAATACACTCTCTTATGTAATGATAGCGGGTATCTATGTGTTTGCTCCTGTCATGGAATACTGAATTCTTTCCTAGAGCTATTGTATATTGTTGTCGACATGGATCTCTGTTGGCTCTTGTTGTGGCATGCTTAATTCTTTCAACAAGTTTCTCAGCCATATTGCATGACAGACATATGAGGTAGTAGCTACGTATTCAGCTTCGCAGGTAGAGAGGGCGACAATCGGTTGCTTCTTTGACATCCATGTGAATGCAATGTCTCCCATGAAGAACACAAATCCAATAATGATTTTTCTGTCGTCGGAATCTCCTGTCCAATCGCTGTCGCTATATCCAACAAGTTTGTAGTTACTAGAACTTGAATAGAACAAGCCAAAGTTAACAGTACCTTTAAGGTATCGAAGAATTCTTTTGGTTGTCTTCAAATGTGTAGTTGTGGGATTCTCCATATAGTGACTGACTAATTCAACGACATAGAGAATATCTAGTCTTATGCAAGTCAAGTAGCGCAAGCTTCCAACTAGACTTTTGAAAAATGTTGGATCTACATTTTCTCCTGTCATGCTTGGTTAGTTTGACTCCGCACTTTACTGGCGTGCTTATGGGCTTGCAGTCGTCCATTTTGAACTTTTTCAGTATCTTCTTTGTGTAGCTTTCTTGGGAGATGAAAATGCTTTCTTCGTTCTGCTTTACTTCAATGCCTAGGTATTATGCCATTAGCCCGATGTCGGTCATCTCGAATTCTTTGGTCATCACTCTCTTAAACTCTTCATACATGCTTGGGTTACTTTCGGTAAAGATTAGATCATCCACATATAAGCAACAATCAGAATATCTTCATCCTTGACTTTGACGTAAAGAGCATGTTCATGAGGGCACTTGATGAAGTTGTTTTCTTGGAAGTACTTGTCGATGCGACTATTCCATGCTCGTGGCGCTTGTTTTAACCCATAGAGGGCTTTCTTCAGCTTCAGAACTTTGTCTTCATGCCTTTTGATTTCATAGCCTGACGGTTGCTGAATGTAGACTTCTTCTTCAAGGACTCCATTTAGGAAAGCGGACTTCACATCCATTTGTTGAATCTTCCATTTCTTTTGAGCTGCCAAAGAAATTAGTAATCGTATAGTTTCCAACCGAGCAACGGGTGCAAATACCTCATCATAGTCGATTCCAGCTCTTTGACTATAGCCCTTCGCCACTAGTCTCGCCTTGTATCTTTCAACCTCTCCGTTGGCATTCTTCTTTGTCTTATACACCCACTTGACTCCGATGGCTTTATGTCCTTTCAGAAGAATAGCGAGTTCCCATGTATCCTTCTTATGGATTGCTTCAATTTCTTCATCCATTGCTTTCCTCCACTTAGTATCTTGCACTGCTTCTTGGAAGTCAACTGATTCACAATCAGCAATGAGACAGAAAAGTGTAGGATTATCGAGTCTTTCAGCTACCTCATAGAAATCTCGTAGACTTCTTGTGTGTGGTACTTCTCTTTCATTTAGACTCCCACTTGACGATGCTGATGCTGGTGAATTACCATGATTGGTTGATGTTGGTGAAGCAGGTGGAGTAGTGGATTCTTTGTAAGAGGTTTGAAGCTTCTCCCATGCTTGCTTGGCAGAGGTTGCACTCGAGACCTTCTCAAAGCCATTGTCATCTAATGCTTGGTAGATGAGGTAGAGAGCCTTCTTGTCTCTCTTTCTTGAATCTTTCAAACTCTCATTCTGGGGTTGGGACAGAGTAGCTTCATCTTCTGGCTCAGTGTAGCCTTTCTCCACGACTTCCCATACATCGTGTGCTCCCAAAAGGGCCTTCATTTTGATACTCCAATTATCGAAGTTGTTGTTGTCGAGCACTGGAACTTGGAAGGCTGCCATAGTGTTGCTAGCCATAGCTCTGATACCACTTTGTTGGGGCTTAAAAAGACTTCTCTACTTTGGAGACGTTTATCTCACAAAGAAGAATGTAATGCAGCGGAATTGATAGGCAAGAGAAAGAAAGAACACTCAAAGTTTTTTTACACAAAATTTTTATTCACTCACAAACTAGTACAAGAGGAAACATTCACACACTCTTACACTTCTTCACTCTTTTCTCACTTCTTGCTCTCTTACCTAGCAACACACACACATACACCTATTTATAGGTGTGTTTTTGCCGACTTTCCTTATTGCACTGACTTGAGCATTGCTTAACAGCCACACAAATTGCTAGCTTTGGTCTTTCTAGAAAAAGGCTACAGATATAGTTTAGATATTTCTAGATGGCTTAACCGACTTGGGCTTTGCTGGATTTTAATATGCATGCATTCCACCGACATGCTCTTGCTAGAATTATCTAGCATTTGCATGAACCATCAATTAGCTTGTGTTGCCTTTTCAGCATGGGCTGGACTCGGCCCAAGACTAGATTAGAATTCAACACTTCATGTCTATTTGATCATCTATTGGCGCTACACGATGTCTAAACAATCTCTCCAAACCCACCTTAGCAGAGCCAAAGAATTTGGTAATTTATATGGTCTTATCCAACTGCTAGTTGTTTTGCTCCTGTTTCCTGGCATCGAACGTTTCATAGTTTTTTTCAATTTCCCAGCTATTTCGTCGGCATTCAAAGATTTTCTTTTGAAAATTACATGATAAAATTTTGGGCGAGATTCAGTGAAGATTTCCATATCATATTATCCACAACACCACTAACTGAAGTTAACAGAACTCACCTTATGAGATCACTTGCGATTACGAAAAACAGAAATATACCATTCAGATAAGATGTCAGTAATTTATGGATAATATGTTACAGCATATAATTAACTAATTTCTTGAGTTTTAAATGATAAACATATGATTTCAGTTAATTAAGTTCCATGCATTCTAATTAATCAGTACAGGATTGGGTTTAGACTGTGGAGCTTACTACCAGAATTTCACCGAAACGGCTGTGGAGCAAGGAAAGGTGAATGTGGTCGACATAGATAGGGCACTGAATCACCTTATGTTTTGCATATGAGGGTAGGCTACTTTGATGGAAACCCTACTTTCAAATCTCTTGACAAGAAGGGTATATATGCACCAGAGAACATATTGAGTTAGCCACAGAAGCAGCAAAGAGAAGAAACAATGCCAATGACACTTTGCGTAGAACTCTGCTAAGTTCAAAACCCTGGCCGTCGTCAGGCCTCATGCCAATGCTACTACCAAGGTCATGATCGGAAAATATACTGGTATTGAAAATACAAAAAATGTTTCCAAACTCTTACGTGTTCTACAGAACAAATGTGTTACATGTAACATTATTACTTACTACATTGTGTACGTGTTCCTTGCAGTACACTTCACCTCGTGATGTTTTCAAATCCTATGGAAAAGTGCGGTATGAAGTGGGATGTGATGTTGCATGTCTAAATGAGAGCTTGATATATATTCCCTGCCATGGCAGCCGCCAAGGCAGTTCATGCAACCATAGTTATGGTGGGATTGGACTCATCGGTTGAAGCGGAGGGCTTGGACAGAGTTGACCTCCTCCTTCCTGGTTACCAAACTCAATTATCAACCAACTTGTTCGCCCAACAAAATGATAATCATAAGTACAAGAACTGTTAATAGAACTGCATTTTTAGACCACATAATGCGAAAATTAATATGTTAGCCAATATTTAATTATAATAAAGATAACATGTTGTGCGGAAGCGTCAAATATGAAACCAATAAGCAACAACGGCAAAATATGATAAGACAAATAATCCAAAACACAAGGATTTATACTGGTTCGGCGTAAGCCTACGTCCAGTTCCGAGACGGCGAGGAAATTCCACTAATATCAAAAGGAGATTACAAATAGAGGTTTAATTCTCAAACCCAAATCCCACATACAATCAATAGCTCTCACTCAAACTAAGAAACAAATGGAGAAGAAGAAACACATATCAAAATTCCTTCTCTCCCAAAAACCACAAAATGTAGCACAAATATCTTTGATTGAGTGATCACTAACAAAAGGGGATTACAAACAAATGGGAAGGAGCATCACTGTTTCAAATGGGAAAGCCGAACACTCTCCCTGGTATGGCTCTCATCTGATGCCGCTCCCCCCTCATCTCCCACATTCGGATGCAACATTTATCCATAAAAAGCATCCAATAAAAAATCCAAAGTAAAGTAATAATCATTCCTTTACAGACATCATTATGACCTTTCTTTTTCTTTTCAACAAACATCATCATTGGTCTCCTCATAATGATGTTCCTACATCATTATGTCTTTCATTTTTTATTATATGTTTTTGGCCACTTTACCACTAATTTGGCCACCATCCAACAATCTCCACCTTGGCCAAATTCCGAAAACATCACAGAGAATCGAATCAACAATCACCATAAGCACCCAAAGTACAAACTAAAGACAACGGGAACTAAATCAAATTCTCCAAACTTTCGGTACTCATAATGATCTCCACCTCGACTCAAATTTTACCAAAGCCAACAAAAGTAGAGCATTTCTCTACCGTCTTCTCCAAATTTGCAAACCATAAGTGCCTTGATCAAAACAAAAGGTGATTCAAACGAAGAACGAAATTCTTCAATATCGCCAACAAAAGATCAAGCACACCATACCAAAGTTGGACACACAACGAACTCCACCTGCTCACAAACACCATGGTCTTAAACTGCACCAATAGACTCATTCACATAGCATGGCACATTCTCCAAGTCAAAACTGATTACAAATTTGGCAATAAGGCCTCACATACCACATACAAAAAAATATGCCCTTCACTCAAGTTTACCATCATCACATGAGCACCAACAGGACAACCAAAATTTCAAATTCAAATAATCAGTAGGAGATCCAAAACCATACCTCAACTGGAGTCTTCAAAAAAGCTAATTGCAGATGATGGAGACCAACAAACCAAATAGCAGTGGCAAACAAATCCAACCAAATGTACATAAACCAAACAAAGTTAGAAAGCATAACTTGCCTTCTACAAGAGGGTTCCACACAAATGTTCCGCATTAGGTGTCTCCAAAATAGTGTGATGTCTCACTATCCAAACTTGCAGAACTCAACAAATTGGCCCTCACAAACTCCTCCAATGTTTCCATCAACTTGCTCCAAAGGCAACTAGTGGGAGTGAAGAAAAACTTCTCTACCATTGAAAAAATGCCAAAGAGAAGAAAACTTAGCCTTAGCCTTTTTCCCTTTTCTTTCAGCCAATAGCATCATTTGTCATCATGATGTCCTTCTGCCAAAACAAATGCCGAAAGAAAAAGAACCAACATTTTCTTTTCAATTTTCAACTGCTTCTACCTTTTCTCCTTCCCACTCAACTCGTCGACAACAGCCCACAAACACCTCCGGTGCAACGATGACCAACGGAAAACCCACCAAAAGCAGTACACTACACCTGCAGCCGTCGAACACCAACACTTCAACAACATCAACAACAACATTGCAGCAGACACGCTGTTTCCGAAACCATTCTCCAATTGACCAAATACCAAAGTCATTCCTCCTGTCGAATTTTTTCAAAAAAAAACATATTTCACCGTCATTCGAAGATTTCA